AGATGATTCTCACGATGCCCCAAAGGATCAACGAACTCCACGAAGCAAAAGGAAGATCTACTAGATATTAATTAAATTATAAATATATCAATTCATGTGAATATGACTGAAAATTTTCATTTTTTCTGTCTATTTACTTGTGACCATGCTGTGTATATATATATATATTATCAGTCGGCATTAACCTTATTAACACCGAAACTGCGACCTCCCTGGAACACAAGCAGAACATTAAACTGAATAAATTAATTATAGACACAAATACCAATAGTATTGATCCTAAAAAGGTCATCAGAACTTTACAATACTATTCAGTGTTTTATTTTATAACAACATCTATGTAATGACTGAGTCAGAAATTCTGGGAATATCTGTAAATAACATAGCAAAATGTTTGAATTTCTTGTTCTTTTTTATTACGTGATAATTCAAAAACCAAAACAATGGTGTCAACCAAATTTTCTGAGGTGACATAGTTTCATAACTAGTAGTAATTTAAAATCATAATTCTAGTGTAAACGATGTTATCATTACCCTTGAAATTAACTTACTTACAGAAATTTGGTGTTCCTTTAAAAAGCTTAAGTACAGAGTGAAACAGGAATTACCAGCCAATAATAGATAAACAATAAATATTACAGTTGGAACCTAACTGTATTTAGAACTTGATTATAAATAGAACCTTTCTGTGTCTATTGAAATATCGCATTAAAAAAAACAAGTGAAGAAGAAACTTTTCAATAAATGAAGTAAATGTAGGGGTGGAATTTGTATCTCCCTACATAATAGCACAGGCAAGAATTAACATATAACAAATATATATAACTATTCAGCGACAATTGAGTTTAATTTATCCCATTTTTGTCTGTTAACATTCTACTACACTGTTTGACTGTGCTATTGTGTAGGGATGATGCTAATGCCATCCCTACTATCTGGCTTGTATTGTTTTTGAAGAGTTGATATTAACCATCCCTACATTTACTTCCTTTTTTGAAGAGGTTTTTCTTTATTTTTACATATTAAGCCATACCAGTGTGATAACTATCCAATATCAAGAAAAACTTTCTATCTGTGTGTAGACGTATCTCCTCCTAAATGACTTGACTGATCCAGACCTAACTTAGCATGCTAACTTAGTATTCCAAAAGCAAAAGAAATTTCATTTTAAACTTTCCCATGTATTGAAAAAAAATTATTGAATAACTCCTATATCGTTACTGCAGTAACTATTGTAAATAGTTGAGTTTGTACACCACAGCAAAATTCTATAATTCAAAGATTGTAAATAAAATTCTAGCATTTTGGCTTGTTTTCCATAAAAAACAAAATATACTCAACTCTGTCAAGCGAAGCTCGGCATATCTGGATAATTGTATAAACTTAAATTACACATGCCTGCGAATTTAAACTTCATAAAAGTTGTTTTGGGCCCCAAAATCTCTGAAGAATCCTTTGGAAGGCGTAAACCTTTCACCAAATCATTAAGTTCATCTTGTGTGAAAAGTTGTGGTTCACGAGACGTTTCAGGTTGAAAACAATATCTATCATCATTTCTATTGACATCATATTCATAAGCAGATGAAACTGTATCAAGAGTCTCCAGTGGAGTAGGTACAGGTATATCAGGTCTATGAGCAACAGATCTTATAGCAGATTGAAGGTTCAGATGAGTAATTTCGAGTGTTGTAGCCTTGCACGTTACATGAGCAAAAATAGCAGTCATCTCCATGGTTTCTAGGCTCATGCCAGATCATTGGAATTCCAAAAGGCAAATACTTTTTCATACCTTTAGTTCATTGTCTCAACTCTTCGACACAAACGGTGCAAACATTGTGCGGAGCCCATGATTTGTCTTAGTCCCCAAGTTTTATTCCAAAATACGTGTAATATGCTTTTTTGACGAATTTTGTAATGTTTTGCCTTTGTTTCTTTATGACAAATTTACCACAAATATAACAGAATATGTTTGGGTCATTTACACAACATTTTGTTGCCACAGCGACGAATAAATGATATTGAAAAGAAAAAATATTGTTAAAATGAACGCACAAAATACTATCCAGAAATGACACGTTATGCGGCCTGTTAACTGTTTATACAATAGCGGCGTGTTTCTCGTGGGTTCTAGAACGATTGATGAGACTCTCACGTCCTGATTGGCTTAGAGAAATCTATAGCCAGTGGTTGTCAACATTTTAAGCATAACAAAATGTAACCCGATTTCAATTAGAATGATTCACTCATGTAAAAGTACGTATGACGTGATGAAGATAAATGGATATCATTTTTGGATTCAACGTAAAGGAATTACTGTAGAACATCTCCAAAATTAAAGACAATAAAACCAGCGCAGTCCTGTGTTATATCTAAAGTCGCTTTACACTCATTAAGCAAACCTCTAGATTAAACAGTATTAAACTGTAGATAATTTTAACAACAAATCCTCTATTGACTAATGATGCACATTACGTTTCTAGTTACATGAAACTAAATGCTGATGTAAACAATTTACTGATGTATTAAATTCTCAGCAGTTATTGAATAATAATAGAAACAGTAATTTAATTTTTTAGTTAGATAAATTTTCTTGTTGTTTTTGTTACCTAAATTACTTCTTTAAATTCTAGTTTCTTGAATTTAATAGAAGTTAATTTCATATTTATATTGATTATAAATGTGTCTTTGAACAATTTTTAAATAAGTGACTTAAAGTGAGCGCGAGATAGTTAATTCTATTGTAGTAAAATTAATATAGAAACTTATCGAGTTTACTCTACTAGGCAGTTGCCTAACCACTAAAGCCGGGATTATGTCTAGTTGGCTATTCCGCACAATCACATTTTTGTCTGAAAATAGTTATATTTTAGAAAATATGCACTATGTTTGGATCAAGAGCTGTTTAACTCTCTGTTCGTTAAGTAAGTGATCCACCATGCTTCATTATGTACTTTTAATTTTTTCTGTAATAATAACTGGAAATCTTCATACTGTATTTCATGCAAGCACTTTGAAAATATAAGGGATGTAATATTATTAAACGAGCAAGAAACAAAGTCTTTCGTGGTATTAAATTCTAGCATTTTAGTATAATAATAAATATACACACACATTCTATGAAAAAAAAAAAAAGGTTGGTTGTTTTGAATTTCGCGCAAAGCTACACGAGAGCTATCTGCGCTAGCCATCCCTAATTTAGCACTGTAAGGCTAGAGGGAAGGCAGCTAGTCATCACCACCCACCGCCAACTCTTGGGCTACTCTTTTACCAACGAATAGTGGGATTGACCAAACATTATAACGCCTCTACGGCTGAAAGGGCGAGCATGTTTGGTGGAACGGGGATTCGAACCCGCGACTCGCATATTGCGAGTCCAGCGCCCTAACCACCTGGTCATGCCAGGCCGAAAAAACAAACAAACGCACTTACACTATGAAATAAAAAATAATCGGTCAAAATAACTTTATTTTCAAGGCTTTCCATTCTATATGAAGTTGACATTAATGCGTGAGTGGAAATTCATACATTTGTAATGAATTAAAACAAAACACTACTACAACCAGGGTCCCACAAAAAACAGTTTATTAAAATACAGCCATAACAGAAATCTGAATATAACTTTCAAACAAGTAAAATACAAATGTTATCACTTACAAAAAACAACAACAACAAAAACACACAGACAAATAAAAACAGTAAACCAACGTTAATAAACAATATGTTACGACAGCGGAAGTCACGTGACGCTGCTGGCGCAAGCGTGACTGAGTTTCTCGAATTATCGGGGAAGTTCGCGTGTTTTGAAGATGACCCTCTCGTTAGTATATAAGCCTGGCAAGAAAGCCAGTGGATGAATGTATGATAAAGCGAATGGTAGTTACTTTGAGTTCCGGGTAATTTACGGTTCTGTTTCGAGCTAGTGTGTGTTTTTCACTCGTAGAGAGCAAATTTATCGAGATTGTGATTCTCTGTGATTTATAGCGTGTATTATAAGAATTGTTAAGTTTAAAGTAACGAGAAACGTACTGACTGTGGAATTACCGTGTACTAAAGTTTGTAGCGAGAA